CGTTGACAGTCTAGTCGTAGGCGGCCTTTTCCGCACTTTTCGGTGGTTTGAAAATCACTTCCGTCCCACACTGTGCCGCTCCTGCCGAAAACGCCAACGACGCACCCTCCTGTAGCCACACCGGCCACACCCGGGCTGGACGACGGTAGACCCCCGCTTTCTTCGGGCAGTCGTCACGCCGTCACTTCTCCGCGCCGTTGCGTTTTCCGACGCAAAACACCATGCGCCTGGCCTGCCCGGCCAGCTGTCGTTTCACACGTGAAGCCACCCGAAATCTTCGCGCACAGTGACGCCGCATGTCACTTGCCGAAGACGTTCGAAATCCTCGTGCGTATCGTGACGAAATCTCCCGACGCCACGTGCCGCACGCATTTCTTGCCGACTTTGTCGCTCGCGGTTGACAATCACGTGCCGACGCAACTCGCACGTCTTGTTCTCCGACAACTTCGGATGTGCACTGACGGAGATTCTGTCGACGTCAGCTGCCACACGCATTAACTCCGAAAATGCCGAAACGAATTAACTCACGCATTAATTGCGACGACAGCAAAAGCTGTCCGCCACCCGGGGGGAGGGAGGCCACGGTCGATCTTGACCGTCGAGGGCAAGGATCCGTCGGTGCAGCAGGAGTGCCAGCGGAATCCATGGCCGCTAGGAGTAAATACCCGTTCTCCTGGCCGGCTACTGCGCTGCTCCTGTCACCACGGCATCCTTCCCTGTCCCCCCCCCCCGAGGGGTAATACACTCTAAAATACGGGTAACCTAGGAACTTAGGCTCTGATACCAAGTGTTATGAGTTGTACTAAGAAGAGTGCGCGGAAGACTTTATAAAAAGGATGAGAATTACAGAATGTCGAGAATGATAATGAAGCGAGCATTTATAGGGTCGAAACCGTGCTAGGCGAGGACCTCGATGTGCGTGGCTCGGGAATGTCGCAATTGGTGCGGGGCGACTCGGGGCTGGTTCGATGTGAAAGTGTAGGCCGAGCCACACTGACGCGAACTGCTCGGGGCTGTCCTCGCTAAGGACAGTTCTACAGTAATGAATTGCACATTCATTACACCAACCATGTAGTGCAATCAACATTGTACTCCCAGGCGTGTAACATCTTGGCGATGTTTGGCTGCCACATGGAAGAATATTCTTGTGCAATTGAGTGAGCGAGCGAGAATTGCACTATCGAAGCAAAACAGTACATCGAGCGAAGGCATGAGCCAAGAATATAGTGTAGACATTTATACTTGTAGCCCCTTTCCTTGCTAGTATGATTCCGCAACTTTGAGATATTAGACCCGCAGTGCAGCTAAAACTGCCGATGAACAAGGCATTACATTACACTGCCAGTGGCTATGAAATCATTAGATCCTTTCCTCTCTCCTCTCACACCACCATGCCATGGTGATGTCCAGGGCCCACGATATCAGGGCAAAACATCCTGATTACCCTGATTTCAGGATGGTGTTTTAAGTTTGCCCTGGAATTTCAGAATGACGCTGAAATTTACCCTGCAACGTCAGGATGATCCATGTGTTTTGCCCTAAAATTTCAGAATAACAGTGAAATTTTTCCCTGAAGCGTTAGAGTGAATGTAGAGGGATGCCCTGACTCGTGGGAAGGGGAGAAGGGGTGGAGGGGAGAGGGAGAGAGGGGAGGAAGGAGGCTGGGGGGTGTGTGTGCTAGTAGTTCTGTCCCCACCCCTCCCCCACCAATGTTTTTGCTCAGCCAGCTGTGAAACCAGTGAGCAACCTGCTCCTTTCGTGCCTTCCCCTCCATCCTCTTTAGTGCCTTGTATTTTTTGCCCTGAATCATTCGGATGAATTTCTGCTGGTGCCCTGAAATTTCAGGATGGCCAGGGAATTTTGCCCTGGAAAATCAGGGCATTTCAGAAAAATTCAAAAGTTACCCTGAGGGCTCAGGGTGCCCTAAATCCTAGCACAGGCCCTGGTGATGTCTGTCGAACCCCCCTGCAGAAGCTGGCAACCCACGACTGTGGTTTCCCTGACAACTCAACGTTTGTGGTCACTCATGTTTTGGTCCAAAAAGAGAGGCTTTAGGCCATACCGTAATTCCAGCTTCCCTCCCAAAGCTCATGATATGCGCAACACACGGACAACAGATGCTGCCTCCCTCCATCTCCGCAGGCACTCACCACCACGACACAGTCCCCATTCGAAACCGCCCGGGATGGAAACATACAGTGGAGCAACGCGAAGCCAGAGACCAGAGGAGAAAGGAAGGCACCAAGAGCACATAAGGCAGGTGCGGCAGTGAGCGGTTATTATGATACTGGATTGTGGGAGCTGGCTCAACTGACGTTGCTAGATAGCGTTCACTTGAGTAATCTTCCACTGGTGAATTGGATATGCGCGAATCGGATGCCCTGCCGAATCTATCTTCTTCCTTATGGAGTCCAGAATCTGGAGTGATTGCAAGCAGTTGCTGGCTGTCCTCCCCCCCTCCCCGTCCTCCCATCCCATGTGATCCTATTCTCTCTTGTTGCCACACTCCCACCTGCCTGGTGTTCCCTGGTTTTCTCCCCAATTCCCCGCGTTGCACATGTACCCTCATACGCATGCACAAACACCCACACATTCACAAACACACACACACACATACACACACACACACATTCACAAACACACACACATTCACAAACACACACAAACCACAAACACACACACATTCACACACACACACACACATTCACAACACACACACATTCACACACACACACACACACACATTCACGAACACACGCACATTCACAAACACACACAAACCACAAACACACACACATTCACACACACACACATTCACAAACACACACACATTCACACACACACACACACACACACAAACACACACACATTCACAAACACACACATTCACAAACACACACAAACTCACAAACACACACACATTCACACACACACACACACACACACAAATACACACACATTCACACACACACACACACGCACGCACGCACGCACGCACATTCACAAACACACACACATTCACAAACCCACACACATCACAAACACACACACATTCACAAACACACACAAACTCACAAACACACACACATTCACAAACACACACACATTCACAAACACACACAAACGCACAAACGCACACACATTCACACACACACACACATTCACAAACACACACACACACACAAACTCAAAAACACACACACATTCACAAACACACACACATTCACAAACACACACAAACTCACAAACACACACACACACATTCACAAACAGACACAAACTCACAAACACTGCACAAATGCACACATGCACACATTCACACATTCACACATTCATACAGTGAGACACTGATACATTCAATCAAACAAATCACAACTCCCCTCCCTCCCTCCCCATACACACAACACAGACGCACCCCACCTCCCAAGCCCTGTCACATGCACACACATGCACACACGCTCACACTCACGCACACACAGACAAACACAAGGCGTCATGCTGTCATGGATACAACCAGAAACCATTACAGTAGCAAGTGCCAATAGGCTTCACATTACATCATCCTTCCAATGATCATGCCCCTTGTGATCAGCTCCCATCAAGCGGCAGCAGTGTGGTTTCTTATGGGCTCATCATGTGTGTGCCAATGCAGCACACCACAGTACAGCAGAGCCGCCTGTCACAATCCAGCGATACCAATTGGTTGAAGCTCACATCGCTCTCTCCCTCTCCCCTTCTCTCTCTGCACACATGCACAGGCATGCACTGAATCTCGCAACCCGTTCTTTTTCCTCTTGTGACCTGTCATGCACCCGCAACCTTCCCAATTCCACCAGTGTCAGATTCAGAATCATTCATGTGCATCAGTGCTTGAACCCTCAACTTGAGCAAGACTTTGTTCACGCACACTGTGCAGTGTCCTTTCTAACCGCCAGCCATGCACCTCACCTCAAGCGACTCTTCTCGCGGCACTTTGACGCCATGCTGCTCCTCATCACCCCCTTCACCCCGCCATGCCTTACCATTTCATGATTTCAGCCTGCAGCTCTCACTGTGGCAGGCAGGGTCAGGCGAGTGCGTGGCAGGTGTGTGTGCGTTGCTTGGGTGCGGCAAGAGTTTAGGGTTTAGGGTGTGAGGCGGAAGTCGTGCTCCTTGGCCCTGTGGTACAGGACTGCTGATGCCTCCAGCCTGTAAGGAGTTAGGGAGCACGTGGGAGATGGGGGAAGGGCGGGTTGGGGAGCACGGGTGGAGAAGGAGCAAGGCAGGGTGTCTGGGGGATGTGGGAGAAGGGGTGAAGTTCGAGAATAATGGGGACAGATTGGAACGAAATGCATGGGGTGTGGAGCGAGTGGTCCTGAGATATCGTGGTGTGGCTCATGCCACATGCAATGTCATGCCATCCCATGCCATGCCATGCCATCCCATGCCATGCCATGCCATCCCATGCCATGCCATGCCATCCCATGCCATGCCATGCCATGCCATGCCATCCCATCCCATCCCATCCCATCCCATCCCATCCCATCCCATCCCATCCCATCCCATCCCATCCCATCCCATCCCATCCCATCCCATCCCATCCCATCCCATCCCATCCCATCCCATCCCATCCATCCCTCCCCTCCCCTCCCCTCCCTCCCCTCCCCTCCCCTCCCCTCCCCTCCCCTCCCCTCCCCTCCCCTCCCCTCCCCTCCCCTCCCCTCCCCTCCCCTCCCCTCCCCTCCCCTCCCCTCCCATCCCATCCCATCCCATCCCCCACCCATCCCATCCCATCCATCCCATCCCATCCCATCCCATCCCCTCCCCTCCCCTCCCCTCCCCTCCCCTCCCCTCCCCTCCCCTCCCCTCCCCTCCCCTCCCCTCCCCTCCCCTCCCCTCCCCTCCCCTCCCCTCCCCTCCCCTCCCCTCCCCTCCCATCCCATCCCATCCCATCCCCCATCCCACCCATCCCATCCCATCACATCCCATGTTACCCCAATGCAGCAGAGCAGGGCACGTACCATCCTGGGCGCACCACATGCCGGCCGGAGTTAAGTGCCCACGTCACCTGCAGAGAGGGGCCACACAACCATTGTGCATGACCAAAGTAGCTCAGGGCATGTAGTGTGTGCACCGGCGGTCGACAAGGGGCAATACAGTATGCGAGAGGCGAGGAAAGGAAGAATGTGTGCGTGTACGTGCGATGAAGAACATGATGCCTTCCGGTCTAACCAAATTTCAGCGAATCTACACTCCCCTGACACCATGCTAACACATCCCAGCATCCCATCCTCCCATCATCCCATCCTCCCATCATCCCATCCTCCCATCATCCCATCCTCCCATCATCCCATCCTCCCAGCATCCCATCCTCCCATCTATCATCCGAGGTGACTTTTGAGTCGACTCAAAAGTCATCCCATCCTCCCAGCATCCCATGCTCCCATCTATCATCCCCTTGCAGATCAATCAACCACTCACCACCCGATGCTCTCCTTCCCCAACCCTCCACTTCTCCCCTTCCTTCCCTTGCACCCACACACTGCACGGACCTCCCTCCACTGGCGCACCTTATCAGTGCCGAGTGCGAGTGCAACCACGTGTGTGACGGCATCGCAGAGAGTGAGCGAGCACACTGCCCCAAACTGCTCTGCCAGGCGCCACAGCGGGTGCGACCGCGCATTCGCCTCGCCCACCTGGTCATGGCAGGGCGACGGGCAGGGGGAAGGGGGGGGCCGTGGGGGGGGGAAGGGTGGGGGAAGGCAGGAAGGAGGAGGCAGGAGGGGATGGAGAAAACAGTGTGCAGATGCAAGTGGAATGAGCGAAGGGAGGGGGGGTGGAAAGAAGAGGAGGGGGGTGAAGAACAAGAGAGTAGGTAGAAAGCAGCATGAGGGAGAATAGGAGGAGGGCATGAGCAATGGCAATGAGTGGGAGCAACCGCACTGAAACAGAGAGATACAGCTAATGGCATAGAAACACGAGTCTCAGTCCACAGGGGAGTAAGGGCAATGAGACATGAAAAGCGAACACAATTGCATTGACAGGGATAGCGAAAACAGACATGCTAAGAGCATGAAAGGTACTCTAGGGTGTTTTTTGGGTGCTCTCATTGACCCACAACCCACAAGCGAGAGACAAGAGGCCGGGGGAGGGGGGGCGGGGGAGCAGTTTTGAAGCGCCTGAGAAGAGGAACACATCGGGGGAGGAGGGGCGGCGGGGCGGGGCAGACCGGAAAGATGCGGGAGAAGACGATGCAGCAGCCGGCGAGCACACGGCGCTGCTGCTCCGCCAGTATGCTGCGCACGTCCAGGTGCTGCTGCTGCATGCCCCGCTGCCTGCTCGCAAAGAATGACCCGTGAATGCGCTCCAAGACCTGCCACGGTATTGAGGGTTGGAGGAGAGCCCAGTTGGGGGAGAGCCCAGTTGGGGGAGAGCCCAGTTGGGGGAGAGCCCAGTTGGGGGAGAGCCCAGTTGGGGGAGAGCCCAGTTGGGGGAGAGCGGAGTGCGGGAGGAGAGAAGGAGAGACGGATTGAAGAACCCCAAAGATTGGGTTGGCTCTCATGCCATGGGTGTGGTACGACACGAGGGCAGGGCAGGATGAGGGGCGAAGGGGGAAGAAAAACGCCAAAGGAAGAAGGGCAGCGTGGGAAAGAGCATGGCACCAGCATGACTGGGGGTTCAAAACGGGTGTGCAGTGGGGCATGCCATGGCATGGTATGGCATGGCATGGCATGGCATGGCACGGCATGGCATGGCATGGCACGGGACAGCAGAGAAAGCATGGGACTGACAGTGAGGATGGAGGCGAGCATGCCATCTGCGGCCCTCTCGTCATGCCCCACTTCCATCAGCGCTGGCCCCGGCAGCCCCATGCTGCGCCGGCTGTGCGGGAAGTACGTGTACCTGCGGGCGCCCATGCACACACACATGCACAGGTGCAGGGGGGCAGGGTTGCAGGGGAGAGGGGTGGAGGGGGCACGGGTAGGGGCGGCAGGGGCGGGAGGGCGGCAGGGGCGGGAGGGGGGTAGGGGTGGGAGGGGGGTAGGGGTGGGAGGGGGGTAGGGGTGGGAGGGGGGTAGGGGTGGGAGGGGGGTAGAGGTGGGAGGGGGGTAGAGGTGGGAGGGGGGTAGAGGTGGAGGGGCAGGGGTGGAAGGGAGGTGGAAGCACGGCATTGAAAGGTTGAAGAGGGCATGAAAGAGCACGAAGTGAAAGGAAGCAAAGACGAGGGCTGCTCTACGTCTCATGAACAGCCGAGTGAGGCAGAGTGTGGTGCGGAAGGAGGAAACGACTGGCGCTCATGCGGTGCAGAGGATGGAAAGCGAGACAGACAGGGCCGCCTGGTAAGACATAGGTGATTGGTACACGAAAACTAGAAACTGGAAACATCACTCAAGGCGATAAACGGGGGCATGGGAGGTCGGGAAGGGGGGGGGGAGAGTGGGAGCAAAGGGTAACATGGGCAGGTAGAATGGGACAAGGGGGGTCGGTGGACGAAAGGCAGGAGTGGAGTGGAGTGGAGTTTGTAGAGTGGAGCATGGCGCACCGTTCAACGAGGATGAGGTTGCGGGCATGGTGAGGCCAGACGGAGGACGAGTCATCCACGATAAGAACACTCGACTCCATCCCCAGCACGCCCTCCAGATCCTTGCTCCGTGCCACCACGCCCTGCCCCCCTCCCCCCGCCCCTGCCCCCGCCGCATCCCCTGCAGCTGCAGGAGGCGTTGCAGCGGTGGCAGCAGCAGCAGGGGAGGAGGAGGAGAGGGTGGCGGGAGCCTGCAGGCCCTTGGCGATGATGCGGGAGTGGAAGAGCGTGCCGTGGGGGTCCAGGATGCGCGCCATCTCAGAGGCATACCACCGGTTGCCCATCGTGTACACGTGCAGCTCAAACAGCGCCGCAACCTGCAAGTGTGCCGTTGTCATGCCGTGGGGTATGCGGAGGCGCGTGGGGATGGGGAGGGATGTGGGTTGAGAGGGACGGGGATGGGAGAGGAGAGGGCGTGAGGAAGGAGAGAGGAGGAGAAAGGCCATGGTAAAGGCATAAATGTGTGCGAGCTGGGAGCTCTCCAGCATGCGTGCGTGCAAGTGAGGCTGCTCCTTTCTTGTTTTCCGTCATCCCAAGCTGTGTGATCAACACCAGAGACAGACGGCGAGGCAAGGAACGCACGCGGTGGAGGAAGGTGCGCACACCGGGGCGCAGCTTGGTCCACATGCCCATGTGCGGGAACCGGTACAGCTCCTGCCCGCCCCCTGCACTGCCCTCCCCGCCCCCCTGCTCCTGCGCCTGCTGCTGCTTGCTCTGTTGCTTGTCCCGGGCCTCCATGTGCCGCAGCTGCTCCTCCCACTCGGGGCCGATCTCAGAAAACTGCATGTGGAGCGGGTGGGGCAGGAGCATGTGGTGCCCCGTGAAAAAAGAAGAGTTTTGAGACGTCTCAAAAGCCTCCATGTGCCGCAGCTGCTCCTCCCACTTGGGGCCGATCTCAGAAAACTGCATGTGGTGAGGGTGGGGCGCGGGTACGTGGTGTGAGGGGCAAGGGAAACACAGAACCGGGGGGTTACAGCACTGCACGTGCATAAATTTGTGCATGTGGGTGTGGCCCTCGCGCATTATTGCCCGTGACTCATTCCACCACTGGCTTCCACACGGGCGAGAGCGATTGATAGAGACAGAGAAGAGAGAGAAGAGAGAGAAGAGAGAGAAGAGTGAGGGAAGGAGCGCGAGGAGGGGTGGAGGCGGCACCTTGGCGGAGTTGAGGAGGGTGTGGTCGAGGTCCAGCACCAGGCACAGCTTGCCCGCAGCCACCATGCTCTCTGTTTCCGCCATGCGCCGCTGCCTCTCCGCTGCTATCCCCGCCACCTCCCCTCGCTGCTCCGCCCCTGCTACTACCTCCACTTTGCTGCCGGCACCAGCATCCTCTTCTTCTTCGTCCTCCCCATCGCTAAACCGCTCCTCCAACACATCACCATGCTGCCATGCAAATGCATTGCCTTTGCGCCCATCAGTGCCTTGCCCTTCAACCTCCACATCCCGCACTCCAGCAACAGCAGTAGTAGCAGCAGCAGCAGCAGTCGGCACTGCCTCAAAAGAAGAAGTAGCAGCAGCAGGAGCGGTGGCAGGAGCGCATTCACGTGAGTTAGCATCCCACCGTGTGTCTGAGACACGCTGCTCAGGCACCCCTTCCGCCCCCATCTTAGCCCACCCTTCCTCTTCCACTGAAGCAGGCCCTGATTGTGACTGCACGACGGGAACCCTCGGATCCCTGCCTCTCCTCCGCCCCACCACCTGCCCCCCACCGCCTCCTGCTGCGTCCCTGCCATCCTCGCCCCGCACGTCCCCTCCTGTCGCCACGCTCCCCCCGCACGACACACTCTCCTCTCCATGGGGCACCAATGCGCGCGCTTGCTCCTCAGCACGCAGGGCAGCACGCGGTGCTGCTTCTCTCGCCCCTGCTCTCCTTGCGTCGCTGCCGCTACCTCTTGCTGCCTCCCACTCCTCCTTCACACTCAAGACCACATCATCAGCATCAGCACCGCCACCACTGCCACCATCATGCACCATGCGCTGTCTCTTCCCCCTTTCTGTCTCCACCACATCTTCCCCTTCCTGCCTGCCATCGCTCTGCCGGCCCTGCCCCTGCCTCCCCGGATGACCAAAACCAGCAGCAGAGCCAGCAGCAGGCACGGCAGCGGCAGCAGCGGCAGGGCCTGCAGGGGCGTCTGTGTCTGGGGCGGAGCGCATGCGCTTGCGGGGGTCTCTGTGCCGCACCATGTCCTTGTCCTTGTCCTTGTCCTTGCATGCCTCGCCTGCCACTGCACTTGCAGCAGAAACCCCTGCTGTTGCACTTGTTGCTTGTTGTACCGTTGCAGCAAATGCAGCAGAACTAGCAGCAGCAGCAGCAGCAACAGCAGCAGCACCACCACCACCACCACCACCACCAGCACCAGCAGCAGCAGCAGCAGCAGCAGCAACAGCAGCAGCAGCAGCATGGGAGGAAGCGGCAGCAGCAGCTTCCGCATGTGTTGCAAGCAGAGGGGGTTGTGGCATGTGCGCGTATGTTGGCGATGGGTGAGCGAGTGGCAGTGCGTGTATGGACGGGCGGGCTTGCATGTGAAGAGAGAGCGTGTTAGGAACAGGAGGGGTGCCATTGGGAGGTGGCGATGAATGCCACACTGGCTGCTGGTCGGTGGCATGGGATAGTGTTACGCCATCCACTGCTGTTGTGGATCCCAGGGATGCAGAGTGGTGCAGAGAGGCGAGGTAGGAGAGCAGGTTGGGATTGGACTCGAGGGCATGCTGGAGAGAAGAATAGAGCGAAGAGTGGGGAGGTGGTGTGAGAGAGGAGGTGGGAGCAGCAGCTTCACTGGTGGTGGCTGGGAGATCAACCTCATCCCCAGCAAAGGGATTGTATGAATACCGCACTGCCTCCGCTGCACCTGCTGTCGCTGCCTCTGCTGCTCCTGCTCCCGCTCCTGCTGCAGCTGCAGGTGCAGCAGGCTGTGCTGGTAACACAGATGCTGCTGCTCCACCTGCTGTGCCAGCTGCTGCTGGCGCTGCTGTTGCATGATGCAGATGCACGTGTGACCCCTGTGCCCCAGCTGCAAGGATCTGCTCCAGTGCGGCCATCAACGACGGTGCATCGGGGTGAAAGGGCAGCGGGGCTGTTGCTGGAAGCGCAGGGGAGAAAGGGGACGATCTATCACCGCCGCTTCCTGTCGCCACTGCACCACCCGATGCTGCAGCGTCAGGTGGAATCGGTAGTGCTGCTGAATGTGGTAATGGTGGTGTGGTTGATCGTGGCAATGGTGGTGTTGCTGATTGTGGTGGGGGACCGGGGGGAAGTGGGGGCAGCGGGGGCAGCAGAGGCATCATGTTGGGTGGTGGTACTGGTGCGCGTGGTGGTACTGTTGCTTGCACTGATAACTGCGACTTCGCCTGTGGCAGTGGCAGTGGCAGTGGCGGCAGTGGTGGCAATGGTGGTAGCGGTGGCGTTGCAGGAGGGTGAGGAACCATGCTTGCTGCTGCTCCTGACGCTTGCTCGTGACCTCTTGCTGCCACATGTGCTGGCGGCAGCAGTGGTGGTGATGGCGGCAGCGGCGGCAGGGGTGGCAGTGGTATCACCGACAGCTGCTGGTTCATTCTGGAATCTGCAAGCGGCAATCCTCCTCCTCCTCCTCCTCCTCCTCCTCCTCCTCCTCCTCCTGCTGCTGCTGCTGCTGCTGCTGCTGCTCCGGCTGCTGCTCGTCTCCTGCTCTGCTAGCTGCATGTGCTGCATGAAGAACGCTGCGCATACCTTGTCCCTGTGCCCGCCATTCTCCTCATCCTCGATTTCCCCCTCCTCGCGCTCACTCCCTTGCTCCTCTTCCTTGTCTCCATGCACAATCTTCCCATAACCAGCTCCAGCACCAGCAACAGCAGCAGCAGCAGCAGCAGCGGCGACCGGTTGCAGCAGAATCACAGGCTGCACCACGCCTAGCTGTGCTGCCGGCATCATTGCCACCTGCCGTTTTGCTGTGCACATGATCCTGTGTCCTCGCACTTACCCATCCTGTTTCCATGGCCATAGCTTCTGTGCTGCCCTTTCCTGCTGCACGACTGACTGCCTCACTTTGCTTTTTCGCCTCGTCTTTTGCATCACCTCTGTCTTGCGCCCCCCCGTCCTCCCCACTATATTTCCCACCGTCCATGTGCCCTGCTGTGGCCTTCGTCTTCTCATCCTGATTTGGCCCTTTGCCTCCTTGATACCGTCAACAGCCAACCCTTTCATCCTCTTCCTTTTCCTTCTCCCCACCTTCAACTGCGCCCCCTTTTCCTCCTCTTTTGACTTTTCCCTCTCCTCGCCTGCATCTTTCTCCCCCTCTTTCACCTCGTTTGTCTCCTCCTCCTTCTCCCCCACTCTCTCTCCCGTTTATCCTTCTCCTTCTCCTTCTCCTTCTCCTTCTCCCTTTTCTCCCTCTCCTCCCTCTCTTTCCTCAGCTTCTCCTTCTTCTGCTTCCTAAACAGCTTCCTCTTTTCTTTCTTCCTCTCCTTACTCGATATCTCCCTATTCTGTCTCCCCTCCTCCTCCTTTGCCTTTGCGCCCTTATCCGTCTCCTGCTCCTTTTCCTTCTTTGTGTCCGTTTCTTTCACGACTGCCTTCTCCTCCTTCCCTGCATCCTTCTCCTTCTCCATTTCCTTCTCCTTCTCCAGTCCCTTCTCCTTCTCCTTCTTCCCCTTCTCCTTCTCTTTTTCATTCTCCTTCTCCTTCTCCGTCCCCTTCACGTTTTCCTTCCCCTTCTCCTCCTCCTTTCCCTTCTCCCTCTCCTTTTCCTTCTCATTCTCCTTTCCTTTCTCCTTTTCCTTCGCTTTCTCCTTCTCCTTCGCCTTATCCCCCAACTCCTTTTTCGTCTCCAGCTCCGTCCCCTGCTCCTTCCCGCTCCTTCTCCCCTCCGTCGCGCCAGCATCAACCAGACCAAGCCCGAGGTCCACATCGCCTTCCATCTCGTCCCAGCTACACACGCCACTGGCCCACGCCATGCTGTACAGATTCCGCATCGACGCCGACCCTGCACTGCCATGCGAAGCACCACATGCAACAGATGGAGCAGCAGCAGCGGGGGCAGCGGCAGCGGGGGCAGCGGCAGCAGGGGCAGGAGACGGCTCAGGCACAGCGGCAGCGCGAGCAGGTGGAGTGGAAGATGGGCGAGGGGAGAAGGACGACCGTGGGCAGGAAGGTTTGGGGCTAGCAGAGGATTGGTGAGTGGAGGAGCGGCGAGCAGAGGAGGTGGAGCTGGCGGCTTTTGAGTGATTTAACGCGTGCCTGTGCTTTGGAGAGCTGGACTGGCGCGGGCTGGTCGGACGAGGACTGCAGGAGCGGGGCGAGGGAGATGGGGTCCTGGAAGGCATGCGCGCGGCTCTTTGCCCAATGGTTGCAGAGCGGTGTAAAGAGGTGGATGGAATGGTGAGATGCGGGGATTGCGAATCAAGGGGAAGAGAAGGGTGCTTTGGAGGCGGAGCAGTGAAAGCGGTAGAGGCAGTGCTTGCAGGGAAATGAGAGTTGGTCTGATTCGAGGACGGATGAGGACTGCAGGAGCGGGGCGAGGGAGATGGGGTTCTGGAAGGCATGCGGGCGGCTCTTTGCCCAATGGATGCAGAGCGGTGCGAAGCGGTCGATGGAATGGTGAGATGTGGGGATTGCAAATCAAGGGGAAGAGCAGGGTGCTTTGGAGGCGGAGCAGTGAAAGCGGTAGCGGCAGTGCTTGCAGGGAAGTGAGCGTTGGCCTGATTCGATATGAGCATTTGATTAGGTGTAGGCACAGGATTGGACGTGGAAGGTGGGGTGGGGGAGTGAGTCTGAAAAGGCAGCAGCGAAGGAGATGCAGAGGCTAGGTGAGGGGTTTCCGTGGTAGGGGAGGGGAGGGAAGCGGGAGAAGGGGATGTGACAGCAGTGACCTTCCACGTAAACTTGAACGGAGGGTTGGAGGAGGTTGAGGAGGCATGGCTTACGGTCGCGGTGGTGTTGGGATCGGTTAACGAAGCAGGAGCAGTAGGGGACGGCGTGGGTGCAGGTGGGGTAAGGTTAGACACGTGCGACGCGGATCTTTCTGCAGGGATGTGACCATAAGACAACCCGGTGGGCTGTGACAATATAACGGGGTGAGACGACTGCGATGGCTGCGATGTTAGAAACGGGTTTAAGAGAGACGAAGAGTGTGACGACAGCGGAAGATGCGACGATTGCGAAGGGTTTGACAGCAGTAACGGATGCGACGATGAATTCAGCCGCAACGGTTGGATAGTTGAGGAGACGGTAGGAGCCGCTACGAGCGACCCGGAAGGGACAGACATGACTGTCCACTGGCCGACCAGACCGGAGGCTGAATTGGAAGGCGCGGAAACGGATGCTTGCATCAGCGATGGCGTTACAGCGCTCGAGCCGACAATGGATGGACTGAAGGCGAAACTCGCAGCGGCGGGGTTCACTTGCGGAGAGGGCTGAGAGCCTGGATGCGGGAGATAGAAGACTTGCGATGGCGACGGCTGAGTCGCGATCTGAAGGCCGGCTGGCAGTACGGCGGAAAGCAAATTGATGGATGGCGGATACGCGTTGCTGTGACCCCTCGCGTTCCGCTCCTCGACCCCTCTCATCATTAATAGACTCCTGATTTCCTGTAAGATGACTTCTTTGCCTCTGTGGGAGTTATTATTCTCTTGGCCAATGAAAACGAAGGGGGGTTCAGTGACACAAGAGATAGGATGCGGGTGGGCTAATCGCGAAAAACGAAAGAATAGTTATTTTGCCATTAGAATCGCAGACGTGAAATCGCGTGTGCGTGGAAGACGTCGAAAGTGTAACTTCGTTTTTCCTTACAGATTCTAGTCTTCCATGGATCTGACCTGGCATTCACGAGAAGCTGAAGCTGTCGATTAGGGTTGTAGTTCCTAGGATTCATAACGACCTCGAGAGGGAAAGCACTAGAAAACGCGGAAAACGCCTTCTGGATTCCGCCCATCGACCCAGATTTTGCCTGGCATTTTTTTGCGAAGGTTTTACATTTGGCCGTTCGCCGTAGATTTCGCCTTGCGCGGGTGAGTACATTGAGGCGCAAGCGAAATGCTGGAAGCCGAGTTACCGGCTTGCTGAAATATGCTAGTTGCCACGTCGCAAGGACGCGTGTTCTGCACATACGCCCTGACTATGAAACATTCTACTTGCCTATTCACATTTCAGAATATCACACACAAAATGTCAAAATGGTTTTTTTTAGGTATTATATGAATATCGTGTAAATGAGTGAGGGGACTATGATTCATGGTCTAAGTTCTCGTTTTGGTTACCAATCTTGGCGGCAATGTACGGTAATGCCATATTGTCTTGTTCCCTGGTAGGTGCCTCTTGATTTGTTGCACAGTCAGTTTCCCAACACATTCAGGCCCTGAATCTCGCTAGAATTTGAGGGCGTCTGATTCATAAGACGGGTCCCCCAGGCAAAAAAATAGTTTTGTCTGATCTGGATTGGAAAGTCAGATGAATATACGAAAATATGTCTGAAATTCAGACCATCAGACCAAAATGGTCTGATAACGAGAGCCCTGATTCAGGGTAAGCATGCAGGAAAGAAACCGTGAAGGTCCTCCTACAATTGCTCCTATGATGATACTAGCATCGGACTCTTTACTGCTTCTCCATTGACATTTTGGCTCGATACCTGTAACATCTGCCTATATTGCACACCACAGCTGTGAATATGAACGTTAAGCATTCACACAGCCCTCCAGGCACCGACAGCCATGATAGGGCTTCCCTTCCAAGTCAGCCGAGCAGCCCCCTGTGCATCCTCAATGCCGAACCGCCCATCCTTGCACTCTGTGAGCGCGCGCATGTTCCCCACCGTCTCCTCACTCAGCGGCACGCGCTCAAACCCCAGGCGCTCCATTCGCTCCTGCCACTGCTCCATGCTCTCCGGCCGCACCACTCGCTGCGCGCCCTCGCACCCCACGCAGTTGACGAGCTTGCGCAGCAGCATGCCCTGCAGCAGCGCGCGCAGCGGCGAGGCGGGCGGCACGGTGTGGTGCAGCGCGTCGAGGAACGCGGGGAAGAAGCGCAGCGCCTCGTGAAAGCGCGCGAGGAAGAAGGGCGTGTTCAGGCGCGCGTCCACCTCCGACAACAGCACCAGGCGCGGCCGCAGGCTGTGCATCCACTGCACAGGGGGGGGTTGGGGGAGGGGAGGCAAGAAAGGGGGGTGGGGTTGGCCGACTTGGGAAAAGGTGTGGTTTGGACGGCAGTGACGGGCGAGTTGAGATGGGTAGAAGTGGTGGGAAAGCAGGCGGTGAAGGTGGTGCAGTGCTCACTTTAATGATGGCATCCCTGGGATTGCTCCTAAGCACTGTGGCATCTGGAAACGCCAACAGACTCCAACAGCAACACACCAACACCTCCTCCTCCCCCTCCCCCTCCTCCTCCCCGCCCATCTCCCCTCCACTGCCATCCTCTTCCAAACCCCCCCTCACTCCACACCCCTCCTCCGCCACCCCCGGGACCCCCACGGTCCCTGGTGGTCGCCTGCGGCAACGGCGTGGGCCAGCATGCACCATGTGGGGGGAGAACTCATGGGCGTGCACGTGGAGGGCGTGGAAGGAGAAGCCCAGCCCCACCATGTCCGCGATGCCCGCCAGCACCTGCCCCACCATGTGCAGCTGCTCCGCGCCATGCGCCATGCCCGCCATGCGCACCACCTCCAGGTCTATGCACGTCACATGCACGTGCACAGCTGGGGTGGGGGGGGCGGAGGGAGGGCAGGATGGCGAGGAGGGGGGGGAGTGTTCCATGGCGATGCGGTGCAGCAGGGATACCCACTGAGGCACGTCCGGGCACCCGAACACTATGATGTGCACTCGCCGCTTGCTGCTGCCACTTGCGCTGCTGCTGCCACTTGCGCTGCTGCTGCCACTTGCGCTGCTGCTGCCACTTGCGCTGCTGCTGCCTGCATGCGGCAACGAGGATGCTTCCCGGCCACCCTTGCCACCGCCACCACCCGCCGTACCCCAGCCGTGCGCCATGCCCCCTGCCTCCAGCACCGCCCCCCCATGCGCCCCATCACCCTCCTCGCCTGCTCCACGCCCGCTCGCCCCGCCCATTCTCCCTCCGCCCGCACATTCCCCTGCGGCCCCCACAGCCCCCAGCGAGCGTGCATGGCCCCAGGCGCGGGAGAGGGCGAGGGAGAGCTCGGTGGCGGAAGCGACGTGCACGAAGCTGTAGAGCGCCCACTCCACCTGCCCGTACGCCGGTGGTGCCTGTGCCAACGCCTGCCCTCGCATGTAGTAGGCAGACATGGGCAGAGAAGGCGGTGGGAAGGGGAAGGGAGTTATGCAGTGGTGGTGCGAGGTGCTGTGACAAGGTGGTTGTTATTCTGGGTTTGCAAGCCTTTGTTTTGTCAGAAAACCAAGCAAGCTCCAATGGTCGTCCTGCCTCCACGCCCGCCTTCCCATTTCCCTGTGCGCGCCCCGCATTGCTAAGAGAGCCTGGGTGCATGGGAGCATGGGTGCATGGGAGCATGGGTGCATGGGTGCATGGGAGCATGGGTGCATGGGTGCATGGGAGCATGGGTGCATGGGTGCATGGGTGCATGGGTGCATGGGAGCATGGGTGCATGGGTGCATGGGTGCATGGGTGCATGGGTGCATGGGAGCATGGGTGCAGGGGCGCATGGGTGCATGTGTGCATGGGGCCATGGGTGTATGCATGAGTGCATATGCGCACACCTGTCCATCCACGACCACGGGGTCTAGCCACGTGACAGCAGCACAGCCCTGGGAGCGTGCATGCAGGGCGGCCAGGAAGAGCCATGCCACACGCTGTGCCGCCGTCCCCTGTGCGCTCGCCTGCTGCTGCAGGCGCCGCGTGAAACAGCGCAGGCGCAGCTGATGGGGGGAGAGGGGAGGGTGGTGGCGGGTGGATAAGAGAGGGCGTGATGTGGTGTTGGCAGTTACGCGAATCTCGTATTATATGCCAGTGTATAATACGTTGGCGTGTATACGCAATATGTTGGGTGGTCGTTCTAGAAATACGTCAACATATGCTGGAAAGGGCAGCTAAAAGAAATTACGGGCAGGTTTCCTGCAGGGAGGGGGAGGAAAAAAGAAAGGGCACCTCTTATATTCTTCCGCTATGCTTCCACCCTTTCCGCTGCACGCAATGCCCCCCAAGCCCACTCTCCCCCTATCAAAAACCGCTACCCATCGTCCATATCATCCCCACCCATCCACCTGTGCCCATAAAGAACTGGTGATCTGGATGTCCCATCCGTTCCTTATGAGCGTTTTTAAGCAACGTAGCGCATTCAGTATTTACGCTAGCTGTTACGAAATAAGTGTGACTGCCAACATGGAAGGGCAGGTGACGTGACGTGGCATGTGCAGAGGGGCAGGTGCGAGTGCGTGACACATGTGCGGTGCGGTGCAATGCGGTGTCTGTGTGTGTGTGGTATGTGATATGTTGGCGCATTCAGTATGTACCACTCACGGTGTCATGAGTGGCGTGCGCCTCCCCCAGCGCCATCACCAGGTTCCGCACGCGCACTGCCTCCGCCTCCTGCCGCGCGCCCCCCATCCTGCCCGCTGCCACGCCATCACCCGCCCACGACACCTGCAGGCGTCGAGACACAGGGGGGGTGCACCACAGGGCACATGTGTCCCCTTGCACTGCGTCTGCCGCTGCTGCGCTGCGTGTGTGCGCGGGACTCAGCGCCCTCTCGCCGCGCACGCCGTCTTGCTGCGCCGCCTCAACAAGCGCCCACACTGACCGCCCTCTCTGCTCTTCTGACTCTCCCTCTCCCCCTCTATGCGCTGCCCGCCCCACTGTTGCCATCGTCTGTGCGTGTGCCAGCAGCGCCGCGCCCTCCTGTGCCGCTGCGCCTGCCAGCGCCGCTGCCTGCTCCGCCATACCTGCTGCCTCCGCATCCCCCGCCATCACTGCTGCTGCTACCCCGCCTTGCGCTGCACATGCCACCGCCGCCCCGCCCACGCGCGCGGCCCCTCCATCCCGCGAGCCCTCGTCCGCCATGCTCCCCACGCACGCTCTCTTCCGCCGCTCCCCATCCACCGCGCCACTCCGCGCCTCACGCCAGCCCCGCCGCCCATCCACGTCCCTCTTTGCCCCCGTCACCCCCCACGCGTCTCCCCGCGCCTCCGCCCCGCCTCGCCCATCACTTCGCGCGGCGCTTCGAGCTAGTTCCGCCGCGCGCCTGTCCCCGTCGCGCGCGCCCTCCGCCAGTCCCTTGAGCACCGCCGCCAGTCGCCCCGTCAGGTCCGCGGGTCGGCAGGCGCTCCCGCGCGGAGCCGCGGGAGATGCAGCACCGCCGCGCGGAGCAGCTGCGCGCGCGTAGCTGTGCGCGTCCGAATTGGCGGAGGCCGCCGCGGGCGGCGGCGCGACGCCGCCGTGCAGTGGCGCCGCTGCGCCGCGAGATGGCTGCTCGAACTCTTCCGCGGTCGCCGCTTCATTCCCGCCTCCCCCCGCCTGCTCCCGCCCCTCCGCGCCCCCGCTGCCGTTGCTGCTGGCGCACACGAGTGTTTCGGGAAGGGCCGCGGCGGAAATGAGAGACGCGGGGCTTCGGGGGAGGGATGAGGCGGAGGCCGCGGTGAGTGCGGGCGGCGGGTGGAGCTGCTGCGACGGGCACGGGTGGCGCACGGGCGAGCGGGGAGCGGCGACGGCGGGGGGAATGGGCAGGTCGGCGGAGAGGGAATCGCGGCAAGGGAGATGGTGATGTTGATGGTCGTCGGGGAAGGCCCCGGAACACGCGTCGAAGAGCGACGCCGCGTCTAAGGGAGTTGAGTCGAAGGGAAAGGAAGTGGGCGGGGGAAAGGGATCGAGGGGGAAGTCGAGCGGGAAGGGGTCGATGGGGGGGCACGCGAAGAGCGCGTCGACGCACACCTCGGCGTCGGCGTATTCCATGGCGCGGGATGGGATGCGAGAGGGCCGGTGCAACGGGCGTGGTGCAGGCGCACGGCGGAAATGCGGGTGGTGTGAGTGGTGAGAGGCGTCCCCAATGTATGGTGTTCGTATATACAAACGCAATGGAAAAAGAGACCAGTGGTCGCAATGCGAGGGGTGGGCGGGGCAGCTTTTATGCGCAACGGGGTACAGTACGCTCAAATCCTGGGCCCAAGGAATGTGACGTCAATATGACGCACGAATGCTGATGGAACGAACTGGGGAAGGTAGTATCGACGCCGCTGTACTTCTACAAACTACAAATCAGTAGAACATACCGTAGCATAGCATCCAACGTTATTTCTTCATCCACTGGTACTTAGATACATTTTGTTTGTGATCTTCCCGCTGGTAGTATCCACGTTGACAAAACTCCGGAAGGTACATTCAGTGCCTGCTGTGTTATATTTCATGCTATACAGAAACAATGAGAAATTACAAATGCTTCGCAAGGAGAGCCCAATTATGGCGACCTCCTTTTATACAATTGTCAATCTACCAATAACTAACCTAACATCATAAGCCTGACGAGTAGAGTGGCATCCTACAGGGCTGTACAGGGGCGGCTATGGCAGCAGCAGGCAGATGTGGAGGAAGAGGTCAGGGGCAAGCATGTTGTGTGCGAGCCATGCGAGGGGCGTGTGAGGCGGGATGACCACACCCTGACACACCACCACACACGAGCACACCTCACCGCCACTGCTGCTGCCATCCCCACCGCCACTCGCAGCAGCACCACCTGGAGCACTGGCAGCTCCAGGCCCACCCTCCCCCTCTGCGTCTGGCTGCACCGCCTGCCCTGGTTGATCATCTACAACCTCCCTCCCTCCGCCTTGCTCTTCTCGTTCGCTCCCCTCTTCTCCACGCTCTGCGTCTCTCTCTGCTACTGTTGGCCCCGCTTCCGCTGCTGCACTGCCTGCTGCATTCTCCTGAGCGGCAGCCGGCACTTGCTCGGGTGCAGCCGTGGCATGCACGGGCCGCTGGGCAAAGCACGAGGCCAGCTGGGGCAGCGCCGCCGCAAGCGCCGCACCGATGGTCACCTCTGTGGGGAGGGCGGGCGAGGGAGGGCGCAGTGACGCTTGGGGATCAACACACACGGGGATGCTATGGTGAATGGTCCTGTCATGGGAACGAGATGGGCACAGCTGGGACACAGCACTGCATTCTGCCTGCAACCACATCACCACACACCCACCCGGCCCACCCCCCCTCCCATTTATTTCCTGTGCACACAGATGGGCATGACCAGGCTGTGCCCGTCCATTCACACCATCCTGTGCCCATTCCTCCCTTCCCCCTTGCACACTCCACTGCCCTGCACTCCTCTCACTACCTTCCACTGCGGTGCCTGCCTGCGCTCCTGCATGCTCCGCGCCCCCCCCTGGCAGTACGCGCATGGCCATGTCCACATCGCGCCAGCTCCGCACCTCGCCCACCTCCACCACCAACCCCGCCCCTCCCGCTGGTGCGCCTGCGTCTGTGGGCGCGCCTGCTGTGCGGTGGCGGTGGTGGTGGGGCGCAGCAGCGGTGGAGGGGGGTGTGGAGGGCAGCACCCCGCGGCGCAGCAGGAGGCGCATGGGGACTGGTGGGAGAGGTGGTGAGGTGGACGCTGGACTGACGGCTGGGAAAGGGGAGGGGAGGGGTGAGCAGGGGATATGGGGAAGGGAGGGAGAGGGGATCGCATGGGCACGCACTGGGAAGGCGCAGAGTGGCAGGGCAGGCGATGCGAGCGAAGGAGTGGCACTTTGATGAGGGGTTGGCATTGGGCGTTGCGCGAGCCGCAGTTGTGCATGATCAAATGCATGGAGGCAGGGCTTGGCGTAGCGCGCGGGCTTACCTTGTGAGGAACTGAGAGGGTGCGTGGCGTGCTGGAGGGCAAGCGAGCGCAGCGACGGGGAGGAGGAGATGGAGAGCGGTGGGCGGAAGAGAGGGATGTTGAGCAGTGATAGCACACGCTGAAAAGACTCCAGATCGCCTGCCATGGAGCCGGGGAGCAGTGCAGGCGGGGCGGGGACGAGGTGCACAAGGAAAGGGATGTGGTCGCACAGGAAGGGGGGAGAGGAACGTAGTGATGCACGCACGTGAGAAAGTGTGACGAGGAGCAGCGGAGGCGGATAGAGGGCAAGCGGGTGGCTCACAGATGTAAAGAGGAATAGGTGCATGGGAAACAGAGGGCGCGGTGGGTAGACGGGAGAGAATGACCCTTATGGGGAAAGTGTAGGAGGCATGGCAAGGAGTTGGTAGGAGTGGTTTGAGGCAGGGGGTTGGGCACCTGATGCAACAGCAGCCCAGAGGTGCGACTGGTCCGCCTGGGATAGCTGCATTATGGCCTTGACACTGCCCTGTAGCACACTCACTGCCTGCACTCATGCTCGCATGCACACACACACGCACGTACACAAACACATGCAAGTGCGCGCCCGCACATACACACTCACGCGCATGCGCGCGCACACACACACCCACCCACCCACCCACTCCCAGAAACACCCACCCCCATATGCACCCACACACCCACATGCCCCTCCCCCCCCCCCCCCCACACACACAGACACACACACACACACACACACACACACACACACAGACACACACACACGAGGGTGCAGACAGGATGGCACAGCAGCGAGGTGTGGTGGCATGGCATGTCATGCAGCACGATGCGCCAACCAGCACCCCCAGCAGTCCCAGCGAAATGAACTCTGTGCTCACGCTGTGAAGGCTTGACACCTCACCAACACCAACCCCATCAAGTCTAACAAATGCGTGTGTGTGCATGTGTGGTACGTGCGTGCATGCGCACGTGCCTGCTTGAGCGCGTGCATGTAGGTGTGAGGGAGCGTGTCCGGGTGGTCCAGTGGCAGCAGCACGTCCGATGGGTACGAGCGGAAGTGCACCTGCAGAGAGGGGTGGCGACAGAGGATGGGAAGAAGGGGAAGCAGAAACCATTAACAAGGTAATGAAGAGCATGCAGAGGTCTGGAGAGTATGAGAGAGGGGATATGATAAGAAGGGGGAGATGATGAGAAGGGGGAGATGATGAGAGGGGGAGATGATGGAGGGAGAGGAGAAGATGAGAAGCGAGGGTGCAAGTGGGTGGGGCATGTGGGGGAGTGCAGGAGATGGCAAGGAATAGAGCACGGGCGGGACGGGGTGGCTGACCGTGAGGTTCCAGGGCAGCTGTTGCTCGGGGCACAGCAGGTCATACAGCACTCCACACCAGATGTTCCTGCCACACACACACACACACAGACACGCGCGTGCAGACACGCGCACGCGCGCACACGCAATGAGGGGTGTAGTGATTGCCAAATCAGATATGAGTTGCTCACACGCCACGTGAGCATTCCGTGCATCTATGGTTTAGTGCACTGCACCTCCAGTCGGTCTGACTGCCACCACACCATTGAGGGGCGGGTTACCATTTGAGGGGCGGGTTACCATTTGAGGGGCGGGTTACCATTTGAGGGGCGGGTTACCATTTGAGGGGCGGGTTACCATTTGAAGGGCGGGTTACCATTTGAGGGGAGGGTTACCATTTGAGGGGCGGGTTACCATTTGAGGGGCGGGTTACCATTTGAGGGGCGGGTTACCACTTGAGGGGCGGATTACCACTTGAGGGGCGGGTTACCACTTGAGGGGTGGGTTACCACTTGAGGGGCGGGTTACCATTTGAGGGGCGGGTTACCATTTGAGGGGCGGGTTACCATTTGAGGGGCGGGTTACCATTTGAAGGGCGGGTTACCATTTGAGGGGCGGGTTACCATTTGAGGGGCGGGTTACCATTTGAGGGGCGGGTTACCATTTGAGGGGCGGGTTACCACTTGAGGGGCGGATTACCACTTGAGGGGCGGGTTACCACTTGAGGGGCGGGTTACCATTTGAGGGGCGGGTTACCATTTGAGGGGCGGGTTACCATTTGAGGGGCGGGTTACCATTTGAGGGGCGGGTTACCATTTGAGGGGCAAGCCGTTGAAGTCGAGCCACACGGTGTCGTGGCCGGGCGGCAGGAAGGGGTGGAAGTGCAAGGCGAGCGCAGGCAGGAGCAGCGGCAGGAACGACATGCGCCGCACCATCAGCTGCGGGGGGGGAGTGGGGGCAGGGGTGGGGGGCAGTGCGCAGCATGGGTCCAAGTGGCGCACTGATGCGCGTGTTGATGCGCGCGAGGGGCGTTGGAGGGAAGGGGGGGGGGAGAAGGGGGAGGGGGAAGAGAGGTATGTGAGAGCGGAGGTGAGAGCAGAGCAGCGTGCCCGAGCCGTGGGCCATGACTCGGACACGTTACCACCCAGCAAACCCGAGGTGTGACAGCAACTCCCCTCACCACCTCCCACGCCACCTCGCTATTACCATCCCCCCCTCATTCATGCGAATCCTCTTTTCCGCAATCTCCGTTTCTTGAAGCACAGGACATGGAATCGCAAGCTTGCACACACGCATCCACCCATGCGCCTTCCCGTGCGCCTTCCGGTGCGCGCTCCCGTGCTTGCATCTCACATAGAGCGCGTCGGGCGGGCACGACACGGCGACTTCCTTGCTGTCCAGCACCACGCGCACGGGGATCGCACCGTCCCACACCGACCTGCACACCGCCGCCTCGGCCGCCATGCCTCGTGCAAGGCCTCGCGCGCTACGTCGCAAGAAGTGTCGTGCTCTTACATGGAGTAACGCCAGCGAACAAGCGAGGGAAAAGGGAGTCGCTGAATCTCGTCTCGAACAAGACGCTTAAGCAAAAACAATCATGTAGTGGATTGAAACTCGGTAAGCTCCAACCCCGTGGCTGCTCGTAACGTGCGCACTAGAGCGTGTTTCGCTGTGAGTAAAAAGACAATGTATTACCTAGATTAACAAGATTGCAACCCAAATAACTCGGGAGTGTAGTTCTCGTTATACCGAGTCTCTTTCATGTGGTGAGGTTCTAACCGAGGTAGGCCAGTTCATCGAACGCAGACACTGTATCAAACGGAACCCTTCATTTGAATCATTGTTGAAAACCAATCCCTTGGTTCCTTGGGGAGGAGTCCTGTCTGGCAGCTTTTTCTGAGTGGTTCAATCAGGTTGCGTGATTCCTCCAGCGCGGATGGTCAACCCGCCTGACTGCCATTCCCATCGCGAGGATTTCGGCTGTGCACACGGAGCAGTGGAGGGTGCAAGTTTTCGCGCCAACGCTGCTCGAATGGGAAGACCGAAGCGAACAATGCTGGAAGCGCGGCAAACCCAACAGAGAAAGATCCGGAATTCCGCGTTCAGTTCGGCTCGGCTCGGCTCGGCTTGTCCACCTCGCCTCGTGCGTGCTTGCTTGCTTTTCGTCAAAATGGGTGTCAATGGGTGTCATTTCTAGTAGACAAGTAGCTAATTTACTACGTTTTCTTCAATACCCCTCCCAGTTCTAGTACCACAACGTAATCCACTCGAGTTGACTCGAAGAAGAAAGCGTCACCACGTGGAGTACACCCTTGCATTTACTCAAGTTGCAAAATTGACAATGAGCGAAAGCACCTCGACGCAGGAACCTCAACACCAGGCAGCGGAACAGCAAGTGGAGACTGGGAGTGAAGAGCGGAGGAGCGAGGGCGAGGAGGAACGGAAGCAGCAGCTGTTGGTACCGGCGGCGAGCGAGGGGGGGAAGCAGGGTCCGGGGGTCGGTCATGGCGGTTACTCATCGCCGGCGGGTTAGCGGGCGCCGTGGCTCGCACGTGCTCCGCGCCACTTGATCGCATCAAGCTGCTGCTGCAGGTATCTTCGCACATGCTCTGCGTCCCCTCCGTTGACTGCACACCGCCAAAACAGATAGCGGGCGTCTCCTTTGATCCCCACAGTCCTGGTCGCAACCATCGCGTCCCACGGCCGATGACCATTGTTTCACCGCAGCTCACGCAATGGCCGATCCCCTGCCGTCCGTCACCGCCCTTCGTCGTGTGTGCGTTTGTTGGTGTACCGCAGGTGCAGCAGCTGGGGCAGCTGGGCACGAGCGCGAACGCGTACACGGGGATCGGGCAGGCGATGGTGAAGATCACGCGCGAGGAGGGCATTCGCGCCTTCTGGAAGGGCAACGGGCTCAACATCATCAGAATATTCCCCTACTCCGCCACGCAGGTCCGTGCCCTCTCGTGCCTTGCCCTCCTCTCACCTCCGCCTTCGCACCCTCCCCCATTTGCTTCCCGAGCATTCGCCTCGCTCTTCCTTACGGATCTGCCGCCACTCACGCCCTCCGTTGCCCCCCCTTGCCGCGCCGCGGTTTCCTGCGTGCAGCTGACGTCGCACGAGCAGTACAAGGCGCTGATCGCGGGGCCGTCGGGGCAGCTGAGCGTGCCGCAGCGGCTGATGGCGGGCGCGCTGGCGGGCATGACGGCGACGGCGCTGACGCACCCGCTGGACACGGTGCGGCTGCGCATGGCCATGCCGTCGTCGGGGTACAGCGGCATGGCGGACGCCTTCGCCACCATCGCGCGCACGGTCCGTGCCCCGGGGGGACGATGGGGGGGGAGGAGGGGGGGTGGCGGGAGGGTAGAGATTGATAACTTGGAAAGGGACGCGAAAGAAATCTTCACGTAGGGAATAAACGAATGGCTTGTGAATCTGTTTTAGGTGCGGAATCAGATGCGAGGGCCGTGCAGTGAGGGGCATTGAGCACACTACCCCCAGCATTCCGCCCCACTGAGCCTGCGCGTGGTCTGAACACAAAGCTCTTTCCGTGGTGGTGGGCGTGCGTGGGCGTGGCGTGCAGGAGGGCGTGCTGGCCATGTACAAGGGGCTCTTCGCCACGCTGCTCGGCATCGCGCCCTACGCCGCCGTCAACTTCGCCTCGTACGCACCGCACGCCCATGCACGCCCCATCCCCCACCTGTTCCCCGCTCACATGCTCTAACCCGTCTCGCCCTTCGCCCTCGTTACTGCAAGCTCTTTCTCCTCCGCTCTCCTGCCAAAGTCTGTCAATCCCACACCACCCCTCCTCGCTTTCAGCCTTCTCCTCTGCATCTCTGTTCGACGTCACTCCCTTACCCAAACCCAACTCCGCGCACCTCTCACGCCTCCCCGCACAATGTTGGCGGCACGGGTGCAGGTACGACCTGCTGAAGTCGTCGCTGTACGGGTCGGGCATGGTGCAGCAGTCGGTGCCCGCGAACCTGCTCATGGGCGCCACCGCCGGCACCATCGCCACGTCCGTGTGCTACCCGCTCGACACCGTGCGCCGCCGCATGCAGGTGCGACGCGCAGGGCGGAGAGGAGGGGGTGAGGGGTGGGGGAATACGGGGGGTTGGGAGAGGACGGGGAATGAGGAGAAGAGGATGGAGTGTGTACGGGAGGATACAATGGAAGGGAATGGGGTTCTTATGGTGTCGACAATTGAGCACGAGTGTACATGTGATGTACGGAAAATGATTCAGTTTACTATGATGACGGTTGAACATTCTGTGCCCTATGCGTTTTTGTGGGTGCATATGTGTGTGTGGGAGTGGGGTGGGGAGTGCACATATGCGTGCGTGCATGTGAGTGTGCGGGTGTGTGTGTGTGTGTGTGCGCACCTGCCTGTGTGTGCAACTGTGCATCGTGCGTTTGGTTATGTGACTAACCAACGTATGGATATGCATGCATATGTATGTTTGTGGCATCCACGATACCCCCATGTGTCAACAGATGAAGGGCAAGGTGTATCGCAACACAGGAGATGCATTTGTCACCATCGCTCGAACAGAAGGCCCAAGGCAAGCGCACTCGCCTCCCACACCCAAACATCGACTGCCCGCTTACCACCTCACTGCCTTGTTGCTCTGTGCACTGCACACCTCAACTCACTACGTATTGTTGTTGGATGCTCTGCACTGGGTGGCAGCGGCACGAATGCATCTCACCAAAGCATGCAGTGTTGTTCAGCTTGGACTGCGTTGTACGTTAGTGGTGGGAGACATTGTGTACCTATGTGTGACACCAGTTGTGTGGTTGATGTGTTTGTTCGTATTGCAGGGGCTTCTATCGTGGCTGGCTTGCCAATACACTCAAGGTTGTTCCTCAAAACTCCATTCGCTTCGTGGCTTTCGAGTTCTTCAAATCGGTTGTCGGGGTTGCTAAGAAGAAGACAGACACATAAGAGAACAGTGGTATTATGCGCTAGTTACATGCATTTTTTCATATTTAGTGATCGAAGTAATTAAGTGCCAGAGTGGTGTAATCCACGGTATAACTCCCCTGTGTCACCCTGAGGTGCAAGCTTTTGAGCGTCCATTCTAGCAAAAAGCACATGTGCTAACATCCAGCCAGACAGGCGCATTGTGCCTAGTGGAGTATTGTAGCACCCCAAATCGCCAAACTCAGTCCGGGTAGATGAACGTGCACGCGGTATGTGTTCTTGAAAGGTCCGCTTCCATCCATTATGTTACGATATGAAGTTTAATGAAAAGGCAATCCTGTATGCTGCAGGAGCCGACTTTAGTGAGTACGAAGTCGAGACGTCAGAAGAGTCGAAGCCAGGGCCCGTGCTAGGATTTGGTGGGTAAAAATTACCACCATTCTGAAATTACAGGGCAAATTTAAAACTGCATCCTGAAATCAGGGTAATCAGGATATTTTGCCCTGATATCGTGGGGCCTGGTCGAAGCGACACCTCCAACCGTCTGACCAAGACCGATGCAGGCAGAAACATTTGAAATGAAAAGAGCGGGAACAGGTTTGAAACTGGTTCCCGCGCCGCACGGTTTGAATTTCGCTGCAATAAGGGAATGTAACCCATTAAGCAGGCCCTCAGATTGGTTTGACGGTATGCTGATGGATCAGCGTGCCCCGGCCAACGAGGTGTCGAAATCAGCATTCATTGTTTTTTTTTTTTTTTACTGATTTTGCCAGTGTGAAAGTCATGAGTAAACTGAAACAACAGTGTAAAAAAAACTATAGCTGAAACACCAGTGCAAGGTGTGTGGTGTTGTTACTGTACTGTGATAGGTTGCAGCGAGGCTAAGCACTCCGGAGCGCACCTGATATCTGCGTAGCGCGTGCGGGTGGGGTTTCGTGAATCACGGAAATGTACAACCTGTACACGCGTACCCTATCCCCCCCCTCCCCCCCCCCCCCCCCCCCCCCCCCCCGCGGTCAAGTCCGTTTCAGTGTGACTCACTGAAGTATACTGATTCGTCAGTGTTACTTGTACAGCAACACGCAAAATGGTCAGTGTGGCAAAATAGGTTATACTGAAATTTCAGTGCAAAATTGAAGCATATGCTGGAATTTCAGGGAAAACGAAAATCGGAGCTACAAAATCAGTATAATCAGCGTGTTTTACGCTGATATCTGAGGCCCTGCCCTTAAGGTACATGGTGTCGAGAGTTAAGGAAAGGTGATAGACTATCGAGAGAATTGGGTACAAGTAACAAACCCTATACCCTACATTGGCTACCCCACTACAGCCTACATATAAATGTACCGTATCTGTCAGAATGAACGGACTGGAATGGTTGAACTAACAGAGAGAGCAGTACATATAGCAAACCCTAGAATTGTGTACCCCATATAGGCTAACCCACTGTAGCCTAACAAGCACAACACATATAATGTTTGACACACCCCCAAAGGCAAAGTGGGGGAGACCTAGGGGTCACAAGACCAGTCAAGGCAAA